CACGTCAATCAATGTGTGTGTTACTAATTTCTAGGGGTGAATAAAAAAAATTAAAAAAAATTCTCAAGACTCAAGATTCTTAGTCCTGGCAATTCTGAATAGATTCTAAAAGGTCTATAAATCGATTTTAAAATGCGTTTAAGTTTTTTTTTTTTCCGCTCCTACTCCCGAGTGTACTGCATATCCCATTACGTGTCCACTCGGCCGCCTTAGAATTGGACCGTGTAGGCCACCGTAAAGAAAGCTAGTTAGCCAGTTCTCTATCTGAATGGAGTCAGTTATCATGGAGGAGGGGGACAGAGCGATTCAACTTCCTCCTTCGTCTTTAAAAATCATTTCAGATCCTAAAATGTTCTGGGTGAAGACAGAGCACGGTTGTTTACAAAACGTGGAATATAAAATTGCGGTACAGTATTTTGGAAATACAATAAAATGCGCAGAAGATTAAAGCGAAGCAGCCGAGCAACAAACTCAACGAATGTGCAACGAACGTCCAGGCTTCCCCAAAGACTGTGATATAGCAGGAGACGGAGAGAGAAATCTTTGCAAAGGATTTAGAAGCAAACAACTCTGTGGAAGGTGAGGGGTTTAGGTTTACTTTTAATATGCTGGACCTTACGTACGTTTTTTTTTTTCCATTTACCCTTTATTTATCCAGGTAGTCTCATTGAGCCACGAGAACTCATTTTCAAGAGAGACCTGTTTAGGGAGCACATGGAAGTTAACTGCCTTACTCATTGGCCCAGAGTGGGGAGAATAAGGGTGGGGGCAGGTGTGGGTGCTTCACCTTCCCCACCCACATTTCTGATGTTGTCGGTACCGGGGCTTGAACCGGCGATCTTCCAATCACAGGCCCACCCTTCTCTAACCTCTGCGCCATCACTCCCCCAAATGTTAATCCTTCATGTAGATTTATTTATCCATCCATCCATTATCTTCTGCTTCTTCTGAAGTCGGGTCGCAGGGGCAGCAGCTTGAGCAGGGAGGCCCAGACATTTCTTTCCACAGCCACCTCTTCCAGCTCTTCTGTGAGGATTCCAAGACGTTCCCAGGCCAACCGAGAGACAGTCTCTCCAGCGTGTCCTGGGTCTTCCCCGGGTTCTACTCCCAGTTGGACATGCCCAAAGCATTTCTCTAGGGAGGCGCCCAGGGGGCATCCTTACCAGATGCCCGAACCACCTCAACTGGCTCCTTTCGATGTGGAGGAGTATCGGTTCTACTCAGAGTCTCTCCCGAATAACTGAACTTCTCACCCTATCTCTAACGGAGAGTCCAGCTATCCTATGGAGAAAACTAATTTCAACCGCCTGTATCCATGATCTCATTCTTTCGGTCACTACCCAGAGCTCATGACCATAGGTGAGGGTAGGAACGTAGACAGACAGGTAAACAAAGAGCTTTGCCTTACAGCTCAGCTCTCTCTTCACCACAACGGACCAGTACAGTGTCCGCAATACTGCAGATGCTGCACCAATCCGTCTGTCAATCTCACGCTCCATTCTTTCCTCACTCATGAACAAAACCCCAAGAACTTCACTTGAGGCAGAACCTCACCCTCGACCTGGAGAGCAATCCACCCTTTTCCAGTTGAGGACCATAGCCTCAGATTTGGAGGAGCTGATTCTCATCCCAGCCGCTTCCACTTGGCTGTGAACTGCTCCAGTGAGAGCACTTTAGGAAACAGAAAGCTCTCAGCAGTTCACATTTCCATTGCATAGCTTTTGCTGTGGCAGGAAGTAATGGAAGTTGTCTATTCCCTTTACAAGCAGCTGAGGTTCACAGCCACAGCATAAATGGTGAATCATTTATTTTTTAATTCAAGAAAAGTTTAGGTTAGAATCTTTAGTAGACCGATTTGAGAAGACAACCATAACCATCTTGAAAAATAAGTTCAATAGGAAAAGCTGTGTTGGTCCCACATTTAAGTTTTGGCACAGAATGTATTTAGCAAAAAGATAACCACAGGCACATTTAATTTTGAGAATTGGGATAATTAACAGTAAAAAGTTTGATGCATAGAAACCACTCATTTTGTTCCGACCTGTGTGATGTCTGCCAGTGGCTCTTCATCCTGGACCAGCATCTGTGCAAACTGCAGGCCTTGGTCGGGGTTGATCCGCATCACATTCCTCAGCAGAAAGATCCAGTCTGGAGTGTAGCCCACCTGCAACAAACAACAAAACTATAAATGTGAAGAAGGTTTCAACACATCACTGACCAACTTCAACAAAGCAGTTCTTAAAATCTTCTTTCAGGTGAATTAAAAAAACGTTCAATACAAAAACAACCGGACAACCAGCTTCTTTCAGGTGTACATAAACAAATGACTAATTGCCATTTCGTACCTTTTTAGCGTACAGCACAATTTTGGGGAACTGTCCAGTTTCTGCAAAGCACTGAATGACCTTATTGGGAACGTTGGCTCTCAGGTAGACACTGAGAGCCAAGGTGGGATCCACTGCCTTCACTAGGTCACCCAGTTCCTCCGAACACTCCAACTAAAATCAAGAACCAGAAAATAGATCTTAGAAGTTGCATCACTTGTTTCTCTTTTACAAACATCAATATCATGTCAAATAAAAGGTGAATATAAAAATGTGCTTATTAGAAAACATCGCACAGAAAAAAATTAAACAAATTACAAGCAAAAAAAACGAACACAGGCAGTCAAGTTAAAAATCAGTTTCAGAGGAAAGTACATCAGCAAATCAAATGATGTCATGCTCTCGGTAATAAGTTATGTAAACTAAACAAGCAGTTCAGGAAGTGCCAGGAAATGCCTCAGTGTGTGCATGTGTGTGTGGAGGGGGCTGGGGGAGTCAACCTAAATGCCTACAATACCTTGTCCTCCTTCAGCCACTTCTCCAGAAGCTGCTTTCGTCCCTGCTGGAGGACAGGCCTGCAAAGCTCAAGAGACTCGAACTTGTTGAGTTGGCCCTGGTCCAACAGGATACCAAAGTACTGGAGCAAGGGAGACGTCTGGCCAGGCTGTGTGGGAACACTCTGGAAGCGACGAATGGTGTCTGGGGTGCGCAAGATACCCTGTGAGGGAATAATCCAAATATTAGTGAGAAATTTAAAAGATGCAGCAATAGAGGTAAATGCGAGTCAATAAATAAACTACTTCACAACAACAACAACAAAAAATACCCTCAAACAAAATTTCCCCCATCAGGACGAAGGAATGGAGTACCTTTGGTGCATTTGCAGCAACTTTGGCAGCTTCAGAGTAGTTGCCGGCAGTAAACAAGTTGTTGAACTTGCGAGCAAAGAGCTCCTCAGCTCCTGCAAGGTTATTGCGAACAGCTAAACGTAGAGCAAGATCTGGATTCTGCAATACGTTGGTGATGTATGGAATGATATTTTCTTCCTCCACACAGACAGACAGCACCTGAATTAATACAGAAAATGTTTAAGTCAAAAGAACATTTTGTTGAAATTTAAAATTTCTTGAAAGTGTACTAATTGCTTTAATGTATACAATGAAAAGTGGCACATTTAGAAAGCTCAACTGAATAAGTCTTAGCAGGAGCACTAAACTCCATTAGATGCCGTCTAGCCTCAGGACATGGACAGTGCAAATGTTGGTGGGGGGTTGGAGGCTACAGCAAGTCAAATTTATCAGTGCACCAGCTTTTCATTTCAGCAAAGTCACCAACTTGAATGTTGGGAGTATTTGAAGGTTTCTTAAATTTAAAAACGACAAAACATGAGCAGTAGTATAATTTTAATAGACAGGATTCTGTGCAAGATATAATAGAAGATGGGGAGTTAAAAAGTGCAAAGATATATTTTTAATACTTATTATAAAACCTGATAATATGGATTAAAAAGTTGAATGACAATTTTATTTTTTTTTTTACTTATCAAAGTCTTGTGGGGGGGCTACAGTCACTGCATCATTGCTGCACTCAATACAGCAATACAAGGTTAGATGACACACAAGCTGCAGGATCATATGATTTACTAACCTAAACATAAACCCAAAAAACTGAATAAATTTGTCACAAATGACTGCTATGATGATGCCATGTAAAGTAAGGACAGGGTGGAACAGAGGACCAGAAGATCGAGAGCATCAGGTTGTCACTGCTGGTTAAAGGGCCTTTTTCTATCATTTAATTTAATTTGTTCCCAATTGTTCTTAAATTAAGTCACATTACATTTAATAGTTCTGCACGGCAGCGCAAAGCTAAATGCAGCTTATAAACTAGCTGAAGATGCTCAAAACATACAAGTTATAATTTCTATATGCACAGATATAAATTTATAACCTTTTTGGCAATTACATGAAGTACTCAATATTAAGTGCAAATTGTAATACTAGAAAGATTTCCAAGTCAAACTGAAAAGGGACATAAACTTGTCTAATTTTGTACTTTTGATGAGCATGTTTAATTTGTTAATTTCTCTTTTTTTTTTTTCTTTCATGAAAGAAATGCACATCTGTGTGGTTTGACACATATACATATATTTCCAAACATTACATAATGAACAGTTACTGAATTTGAGTTGGGTTTTGTGTTTTTACAGTACTACTATACAGACACTTTCCAAAAAAATTAGAATATCATGGAAAAAGTTGTTTAACTTCCATAATTCCAATCAAAAAGTTAATCTTTAAAAGATGATAGATTCAGGGCCCACAATTTAAAATTATTTCGAGTATTTGTTTATTTTTACATAATTTGGGCTTCCAGCTCATGAAACCCACGAACACAGGATAAAACAAATAAAATTAAAAAAAGTAGAATACTGTGGATAAATCAGCCCAAATGTTGCAGGGCATGAATGTTTTAAATGGAGTGTGACGCAGTAATCATCTACTAAACTCAAAGCACCTGCACAGGTTTCCCCAGGTGTCATTAAATTTCAGTTTGGTTCAATTGTCTCAGTTCGGTTCAATATGAGGAAGACTGCAGACATAACTGCTCAGAAGACCATCATCAATACACTTCATAGGATGAGTAAGCTACAAAAGTTCATAGCCAAGGAGGCTGGCTGTTCACAGAGTGCTGTGTCCAAGCACATCAATGGAAAGTCTAGTGGAAGGGCAAAAATGTGGCAGGAGAAGATGCACCAGCAAAAGAGATGACCGTGGGCTTCAGAAGATTATCAACCAGAGAAGATTCCAGAATCTGGCAGAGATCCAGAAAGAGTGGAATGAGGAGACAGTCGCAGCTTCAGAAACCACCACATTCAGACGCATCCGGGAGATTGTCTACAAAGGTGGGGTTCCTCAGTCCTCTTCTGATGAAAGTAAAGTGTGTCTTTCATTCGGAAATCAATGTCCAAGTGTTTGGAGGAAGAAGGTTGAGGAACAGAACCCATACTGCTTGAAGTCCAGTGTGAAATATCCACAGTCAGTCATGATTTGGGGTGCAGTGTCCAGTGCAGGTGTTGATAAACTCTGCTTTCTTAAGTCCAAGGTCACCGCAACAGTCTACCAGAATGTTTTAGAGGACTTCATGATTCCTTCTGAGGATCTGTATAGAGATGCAGATTTCATCTTCCAGCAGGACCTGGCCCCTGCTGCCAGAAACACCAAAACCTGGTTTGATACCCGTGCCACAGTGCTTGACTGGCCAGACAACTCGCTGGATCTAAACCCCATTGAGAATCTATGGAGTATTCTCAAGAGGAAAATGAGGGGCATCAGACCCAACAACAAAGAAGAGCTGACGGCATCAAGGAAACCTGGGCGTCCATAACTCCCAGTCACTGCCACAGGCTGATTGTCTCAATGCCACGTCACATCGAGGCAGTGACCAAGACAAAAGGGATCCCCAACCAAGTATTGAAGATTGACATATCGTTTTGAAAGTACCATATTTTGATTGATTTGTTGTGATCCTAATTTTTCATTTTTTTTCCTGCAAAAATTGAGAAGTAGTGTGGACCGATTTCTTCACAGTATTCTAATTTTTTGAAATCCTGTTTTTGAGAGTCTCATGAGCTGGAAGCTCAAATTATGTAAAAACAAACAAATAAATACTTGAAATTGTTTAAATTGTGGGCCCTGAATCTATCATCTATTAAATATAATTTTTGAATGGAATTATGGAAGTTAAATCAATTTTTCCATGATCGTCTAATTTTTTGGAACGGGTCTGTATACTAGTGCAGTCCAGACAAAAATAGGTGAATTAAAAAATAAAAATAATAAGACGGCACGAGATAATTCCTTTTTATGGTAATTTTCAACATAACCCATTTGGGAGGATCAGGTTTATTTGGCTGCTTTCTAACCTACTTAACTGTTAGTCTTGAGGCCTGGTCAGTAGCCTATTTACTTACTTACTTTCAGACCACTGCCTATATGAGAGTCTACAGCTTGTGATGCAACCACAAACACACAAAGACACTTGACTGCACTCTCGTACACATCGATGTCAGTCCCGCCTCTGATCATCTTTCCTCACTTCACTAAATTATTCATGTGGTGTGTAGCCTGGCTGGAACAGTATTCATCAGATGGCTGTATCCAGTTCTCTTCTCTGGTTCAGCTATACAAAAGCAGTAACACACAACCTTCTTCGTGCTGTGTGTGAAACACAATACCTTGGATTATTTATGACTACCTTTGGCTGTCTGAGCTAGCCTGATAAACATGCTTCTGTCACTTGCCTCTGCCACAACCAATGTTGGACAATGAGCAGAATAATGATCAAAACCGATGCCCAAAATGCATCAACTGACAAAAACAAGGCATTTATCAGTTGTGTGTACAGTAGTCCCTCGCTACTTTGCGGTTCGATTTTCGTGGACTCGCTCTTTTGTGATTTTTCAATGATTTATCAACTTTATATTACTCATGTGATTGGGATCGTATGATAAAAAGTTAACAAAAATGTACATATATTTCAGACAGGCGCTGCCATTTTGTAGCTTTCCTTCAATAAGTCTACACAGTAACGTCAGTCAAAAGAACCACACTACCCAGAAGTCAACAGTGTTTCTGGACACTGCTTTCTGCCAAAATGGAGGGATTGTGTTGCAATGCAAATCTATGCCATCTATTAAGCTCACAGAACTGGCAGGAAAGTTGCAAATAATCCTGAAGCTCAATTATCCACGTCACATCAACCTGGACGGGGTGGTGGGCTTCGCCGCTGCAGGGTAGGTATGCAAAACTGGAACAGAGCCAGACCGAAACCAAGCTGCAGTTCTGCAGAGCTGATATGTAAAATTTTGCAGTACTGTACAGTACATATACGTATGTTGTTAGTGTGACGTAGCTTTAAGAGTTTCGAACATTGCAAGAGTGTGGGAAGGGTTTATAAAGCCTTAATATATATATAAATAATAAAATAAATATAGCGTTCCTACTTAGCAGTTTTTCTACTTATCGCTGGGCGTGTTTGGAACGTAACCCTCGTGAAAATCGAGGGACTACTGTATACCAACAATGTGTAATAGGTAGATTCAATGATGGGCACAGCTAAATGAAAAGTTGGCTTCACGAACCACTAATTCGCCCACTAAAAAATAAATAAATAAATGGCTTTGATAACACTATAAAAATTATTGGAAGCTAATGCTAAAATGCCAACTTTTATCATACGCTGACAATGTAATGAAACTAATGTCTGCAAGTCTGTAATGTGACAACGCAAGTGAACACAACTCAATGGTTCATAAATCAAAACGTGGTTTAAGAACTACTTTACTTGTGATTCACAAGTCAGTCGTCCACGTCTTGTTCAGAGGCGAGCTTTCAGAAATTAACTTAGTCCATCGGAACCAGAGGTGGAGCACTCTGCTGTGCTGATGCAGAGTGAGGCATTCAATGAATCTCTTTCGTGTCATTTACTAAAATGAATTAACGCACTTCAGTGATTCTCTTTGTGGTTAAATTCTTCTATAAACTAATTACAAAGTTGCTGTGTGTCATCAATATTCTCTCGGTAATAAATCTGTGTTAAAGCAAAGATGTGTGAAAACATGTCATGTCTTAAGAGACACCGAGCATTGCAATGCATGCAGGGTAGGAATTATGCATGTAATGTTTTTGACTGTTTCCGATGTTTACGAGTGTAAAAATGGGTTTTTCCATGTTATTTTCCTGTTCCGGTTTAGTCTGGCATTTATGGTAAAATCTCTGTTATTGGCTGTAAACTGACACCATGAGTCAGAGACTGTTTGTGGTAGATATAAGGGGGGAGGGGGGGGCGCGCTGCAAAGGTGGTGACAACGTCAGTTGGTGCTTAGCTCCACATAGCATAGCTCTGTGAACATCACCATTGTCCAGTATGATATTAGTGCAGAGAACTGCCGTTAAAAAATGTGGCGGACTTGAATTTACCAATTTAAATTTAGCAAGAGCTAATTCTGCTAAATGTTTTCAAAGTTAGCAAAAATGCTAATCCATTCCATGGAAAGTTGGCTGCGTGCCCGACACTGGGTAGATTATATCCTCAGCAAAACTGTACTTTGACATTAACGTGACAGTGTAGCTATACTCAGGATCAACAGCATCTCCATGAGGAATTAGGATGAGTACTGGTTAGCAAGCTTACCTGCCCCTTCCTGTTGACTCCAATAATGCCCGAGGTGGCCTCATGAGGAGCGGTGACAAAGATAGTCTCCCCGCTGATGCGGTTCATGTAGATGCATGTTCCTGTCTCCAAGTCATATAGATGGATGTAGCCATATTTGGTAATGAGGAAAACCACATTGTGCTTTGAGCTCATCTGTAAAAGGAAAAAAAAAGAACTAAGATCCATCATATATCCTATTTAGGATTTAAAACTTATTTCTCCCCAACATGGTCATATGATTTTTAGAAACATCAAAATGGCAATTCCATAAACATCTGCAGAAAAACAGGACAAATTTTTAATAGTAACAAGGTTTCCATCAACAAAGAATATAATTAATAGGAGGTGACATTAAAAAAAAAACTAAAAAATTATTCTTATTCCAGTTCTGCATCATCAGTTCTACAAACTTGCCTGCATGGCCACAGGGAAGTCATTTTGTGCTTCTGGAGGAAAGAAGACATCTACTGCTTTCTTTGCAAATGGCTGGTTACCAGTTGGCGGCGTTCCTACTTCAATGATGTGCAGCTAGGTCAAAAAATAAAATAAAAAGACAATGAAACATGCTTACTGAGGTTTTCCAAGAATACAAATGGCACCCCACTTCAAAATCCCAATTGTGTGAATAAAGTAAGTCACCTTTCCTCCAGTCTGGCCTCTGACAGCGAAGCAGAACAAAGTTGATTCCTCTGCATTACCCTCAATCTTAAACTGGGCAAAACTGGCAGCATGGCCTTCAATGGGCTGAGAAACCTTTCTGTCCACAGAGTACAGCTGCATGGCTCCCACCACTCGATTTTGCTGCAAAAAATATACATGGGATGTAATAACCACAAGCTAACATAACTATGCATACTTAATACAGATACTTACAAGACATCTACGATAAACTTACCTGAGCTGAGATACCAATAAGGAGAAGCCATTTTTGCTTGGCGTCGGTCCGGTAGTTGATGATCTGACATCCTGCCAGGCTGGAGTGACGGTCAAAGACTTTCACAGGTTGCGAGTCACCCTCCATACTCCAGTGGTACACAGCATTGTCAGTCACAAGAGCAACTGTGTTTAGGGAGATCCACTTCCAGAAAGTAACATCGTCTGTCATGGTGTGCGCCTTCATCTTGCTTTTCATCTCAATGTTAAAGATCTGAAGAGTTTTGGCTGCTGAAGACGAGAGAAAGCAGGAACCAGGCCAACAGAGAATGTTAGTTTCTGAGAAGTGTATGCACACACATGCACACAGTGCATTCACAGGGAACACACAAATTTAATTGGAGATGGATAGAAAATTTAAATGAAAATGCAATCATTGTGGGAGAACACCAAAAGTGATAGACAAGAATGCTGAACATGCTGTAATAAAAATTGTTTCATCAAGTGAAGTCTAAATAATAAAGGAAAGAGGCAAAGCCCAATTTTGGCCTTCAGAGATGCTACAGAAGACGTAGATGTTAAGTCAACTTCAAACATACAAGTTCTTAGTCTAAACTAATTCTGTGTCATGTGTCAAGTGAATAAAAACAGTGCTGACTGCCTTTGCATTGAGAGTTAAAATAATGTACAGGTTTTTAAATTGTCAATATTATTTATCAAGCTTATGATGTGTGAATGAAGATAAACCCAAAACAATTAACCCCTATATTTAACCGAGCTGTCCAGAGCTACTGAAATATTTTAATACTTATTTTGGAACTTGCATATTATAGGTTTATGTGGACAACCACATCAACTGAACAGCCTCCACAGAGAAAAAACAAAGTCAACAAACTTCTTCCAAGAGAAATTTATAGCAGCAAAACAAAAAAAAATAGAAATGTAGAGGGTCAAATAAGAGCAAGGGGTATAATTTGAACACTTGGATTTTTAGACAGGAACTGAAAGTGTAGCCAGTAATGATAATGACTGTAAGAGTAAAGAACTTTCATGATGTCTGCAAAAAAAAAAAAAAAACAACCCTAAAGTTCATTAAAAAGTTTAGAAAAAAAAAAAGTTCACTCACCTGCATTTTGTATTTTTATTAGTGGGGATTAATTTAGTGAGCTAAAGCTTTAATGAAGAAGCAGGGTGACTTTACTTTTTTGCTTATTACTACTTAACAAAATAAAAGTAAAGACAAGTGTGTTAGCACGACATCAAGATAATTTTGTCATAAAGCGGTGACCAAAAAAAAGAAGCAGTGTGGCAAATTGATGACTGAGCAGCAGCCAAATTTATAAAGCAAGTGAAGAGATTTTTAACTGAATAATAATGAGCAGTTGAAGGTGTGCACATGCATTGTGTCCATCTTGAGCTGTGGTTAAAATAAGTTAAAGCTATTAAAGTGTTGCTTGGCAAGGTTTGTTAAATGAATTATGGTGCATTAAAATAATACAGTGAGTAGAAACAGGGGAAAGGGTCACTCCACGCCAACACTAATGATAAACAGTTGAGGGAACAGAAATACTACAACCCAATCCAAAGCCATGAATATATTTTACGGTCCCATTTCTCCATTAAAACCACTCTACACAGCTCACTATTGCTGCTGGGTGACAAGTGTGAATTGCTTAAGTGCTAGCATGTATGATGAAATCCTAATAAGTTCATACATGCTGAAAGTCACAACTGCCTTACTTCATTTTTAATCAACCAGTATTTTCAAACTAACAATGCTCTTCATTATTGTCCATTAAAAATACATTTACAGTAGGCCCTCGCTACTTGGTGGTTCTTTATCACGGGCTCGATCCATCGCGGTTTTTCAAAATGAGATTGGACATGACAATTGGCTGATTGATGGATGAGCCGCACAATCTGCATGGAATTTTTATTTGAAATAAAAAGGTTTAATTTCCTGATGCATGCTCAATAATCCAAGTAGAAAAATCTAAAAAAGTTAAATCTGGTCCTCCAGATATTTAAGAGACCGAGCTGAATTCAGCACCTCAGACTGAGGAAGTCTCTTGGATGAGAGACGAAACGTTTCTACATTTTTGTTGTTTTGCTTTGTTTTGTTTTTTTGAATGTCCAGAGGACCAGATTTAACTTTTTTGAAAAGGTTTAATTATTTAACACCAGCTGCACCTTTGTGCAGCCCTTACTGCAGGATAAACTTCCTGCTGCAGCTGATCAGCTGTTCACCGTGCAAAGCAGGGAAGTGGGAGTGGCCAAGAGTGCTTGCAGGTGGCAAAGAACAGCAGAGGCAGGAAGCTGAAATCATGACATTCTGTGCTCCTTTAGAGCTTTTAGAGTTTAGAAAACTTGTTTACAATATTGCAAGAGTGTGGGAAGGGTTTAAAAATAAACTACTACTTAACACTTGTACTACTATTCCTACTTTGAAGTTTTTCCACTTATCGCGGGTCTTCAGGGTACGGATCCCCCGCGATAAATGAGGACTACTGTAATTTATTAGATATAGATTAAATTATTAGGTTTAAATTTGATATTTGGTTTTCACATTGTAAATAAGCTACAGCACCTCATTTGTTTTGAAGTTGTATAAATCTTAAATTATAGCCCTCTTAAGGAGCCAGGTGACTAACAGACTGCAGGAACATCATTTATCCAGATAATAAATTAAATATAGAATGCCGTTAAATACTACAACAGTAATTTATTTTTAGCAACTTTACATTTTAAATGTCCATTTGTGAATCAACAGTCTGAATATGACAAACTTATTTTTGGCCATGTCTTAAGGCCCCCTTCACACTGGATGATGACCCCCACTACTAAGCAATACAAAGACAAATAAGCCAGAAAGTGAATGGTCTATGCACTGCCAAGTCCACTGCTTATGAAGAATGCTGTAGACCACATTTCATGTGGCAGGTTGTAGAGAACTTTAGCATGCACAAAACTTCTGTAGCTGAACAGAGGATGCAGCATATTAAGGTCCCAGGTGGAAGATCTACAAGCGCTGTGGCAGCAGACCCACAAAGGATGACTGGTCTAAATCTGTAGGCTATGGCTGTCAAGAATTAGAAGCAGAATTGGTTGTACCTCATGCCAGCTTAGTGTGTCCATCTAGCTGCATCCTGACAGTCTGAAAACATGTCAATATGAGGCCAAAGGTGTGGTGCGATCATGGTTACATGGTAGCATCATGGAAGTGTGCTGCTGGCTTTTAGAATATTGTGAGGGTGCAGCAGAGAATTTAGAAAATAGAAAGGAAAATGTATCTGATGAGTGTCATGTGACAAGTTGCTTTCACAATGTTTTCAAATCTAGCCATATCACATTGTGTTAAGTTGTGGAGAGTATAGCAAGATCATTCAATGTGAAGGAAGCATTTATGACGACAACAAAAAAAAAAACTTAATACTCATCAGGTGCCATTAAAAAGCATTAGACTTCCCAAACTAATTTCTAACCAATACAATTTCTTCATCTCTCAATGCTAACAGTGACCTTCAGTTTTGTTGTAAAGAACAAGTTTGTCAGCAGTTGCAAAATGGATTAAACATCAAGCACAGCTGGAAAACAAGTGGAAACAGATTTGGATCATTTAAACTTCACACAGATGGATGAGCATTTAAATTTCAAATGGAAACAAAGAAAATGTGAATAGAAATGAAATTTATACCCATAGTATTAACACTAACGAGTGCAGAATCATGTACACAATAAAAATGATGAAATGCCAGCAAGCTATAAGACTGCGAAAGCTAAATCCTGTTTACAAACTATTTTTAAAACTTGATGTGAAAAACGTCCAAAGATGGAGGTAAAGCTCAGTTTAAAAAACTGAGAACCTTGCTTAAATTCTTAAAAAGCATTTGGCAAAATTGACAAGTTTGTATGATTCCAATGTTTTCTAAAGAGCAAAAACAATGTTCTTTTAGAGATCAATTTGCTCATAAATGCAGTCTTTAAACAGGATTTTCCTTCCACAGTTAAATATTTAAAGTTCAACTCACCGTCTGCAAACATAAGAAAGCAGTAACAAAAAAAGACAAAAACAACAAAAAAGTCAAAGCAAGAATGAATGCTGGACAAAAAGAAAAAAAATGCTATTCTGAGAATTTATGAGAAATGTTTAACACAAAATACGTTGGCCAGTCAAAATAAATAAATTCACAGCAAAAATAAGTTAGCTGGATATATTTAGACATTAAAGATGAACAGTTTTAAATACTCTTTAAATATTAAAAGGACAATGCTGTCATTTACAAAACGTGTCTGAATACAGCTAGTCCTTCAGGGTTTTAAAATCTGAACAGTTCAAGTTTAACTTCAAACCACTTTAAATAAGTATATGCCTTTTTGATGCCAAAATGCTGCCATACCTTTAAGTGCAATGACTTTGCTGGCTGGATTCATGATGGCGCTGTCAGCCGAGATGGGCCTGCGGATGGGAGTATTAGGGTCGGCCATGTCAATGATCACCACCTGAGCCTGCTCACCAACTTTCTCCCGGACACAGATGAACTTATCTGACTCCATGGTTAGAGTGCTGAAGCCTATGTTGGCTGGATTGATTCCCAAGTTTTGGAGCTAGAACAAACGGGGAAAACAGAAGAGGGCATGTTAGATACAGGCCGCAAAAGTCTAAAGGAGCTCGAGATAAAAACGAGTCAAAAAAAGAAAACTCGTTTGTGTCTTAATTGTATCGATTTATAAGTATATTTTGCTAAAAAAAAATTAAAGCAGCGCTTTCCAGTACTTTAAAAGGTAAATTAGTAGCAAACTAAAATTTAAGAGCAGCAATTTTAGCATCATTTTCTGTTTTGGAAGCAACACAGAAATTGCACATAAGTAATGTTTACATTGTACAAAAAGGCATAATTTTTTTCAAATCAAGCATTGAAAACATCACTGCATGAATAAATATTTGTCTAGGATAATTTAAAGCAATACTTGTATATGATTATACTTTTGCTGCACTACCCTAAACAATTCTCATTTTCAAAAGTCTTTTGGTCAAGTAAAACTAAATGTACTGGGTCAATAGTTTTTGGGTTCAACTGTAAACTGGGCCTTCTGTTTCCGTTTTATTTATAGAAATAAAGACCGTTCTTAGTGCGGGGCATACCTGCAAAAAAGAAACGATGAGAAGGGTAGACTGATTCCCAGCTAGTCTACTTTAAAATGCCACAGACAGTCATTGATCGCAACACTCTTGATATTAAGCAGCAGCTCTTGGGACACAGAACTGTAAATTAGGAAGTTGTACTTGTGCTCTCACTACAGTCCAACCACCAGAAATTTGTCGTCTACCTTCTTAAATCATACGTTTGATTAAATAGTCTTTTTCAACAAGTTTGACATTACTACTGCATGAACACATCTTTGTCTAAGAAAGTTTAAAGTATGATTTATCCATCTCAGCTTCATGAAAGCAAAAGATGTGGTGAAAAGACCATTTGCAGCACATTAGTTGGTTGTAGAAAAGAATAAAAACAGCTCAGCTTATTATGTGGAAACGGGATCCTGCTCGTCTCATACAGTGCCTGACAGCATTACCTAGAGAGGGAACTGTGCCACACAAGCATTAAGTGTATCAAAACTTCAGTTACATTTTTTTTTATTATTATAAAAGTCTGCAAACTCTACACCTATTTTGTGCGTGTGTGATATGATTAGTAAATTGTCTTTTAACAAACTGACTGCTAATGACAATTGTGTGATGAGGTAAATCTAAAGGAAATGAAACTACAGAACACACTTCCCACAGATTATGTTCGGTTGTTGCAACTTCCTTTAACTTCGCAACTCTTTAGTAACATGCCACACTTGTACTACGTCTGTGTAGTACTACTTCTGTGTTAATGCAACAGCTGTTTTGAATTTCATGTAAAAATTAAGTGTTAATGAGAACTGTGGCACATTCACTTTTAACTAAAACTGACTAATGATAAATAAATAAAAAGTTGGAATCCTATCCTTTGTGTATCATTTGAATTATATATTTTTTACAGTCTTTTTTCTACCAATTGTTCAATGCTATTAAAGACACTGAAATGGTCAAAAGTTTAACACACTATTATCCTCTTGTCCACAGTAGTTTTGTAGTTACAAGTTGGATCTCTGCAATGAGTCACTTGGTTCTGCCTGCACCACTCATATTTTACCGATTCAAACCATGAAGTGTACAGGTTAAGGCTCACTAATGATAAAATGTGACTTGACTATCAACAATTTGCCATGATTCAGAGCTAATCAGCAAACGGACCACAGTTCCAGGAACTGCTCAACGAAATAGTGCCACCTTTTATCAATGACAGGCCACACCCTCCTCAGTCTGCTCCACCCCACATTCTTTCAACAGAGTGTGTCCTGCTACACACTCGATGACGCTTCAACAAATTAACGCACACCATTAAAAGCTTAGAGGAAAAATATTTTAAAGATGTGACGGAAGAGCAACTCCCCCCCCCATTGACGATGGACTTCTTACAGTAATATCACATGTCCCAAAACCTATTTACATTAGTAAAAACACTTTGTTTACCTAGGCAACATTTATTTAAAAAAACAACAATGGATACAAGAAATAATGAATATATCTGGTTTCAGTTACAAAGAACACTTTTGCTTTTTAGACATACCAGTACTTAACATTTACTCAAGCTAAAGGAATATTTGGTATAGGATTTTACAAAATTGTAATATTATCTAGACTGAAATATGTGCACATGCTCAGAATGTGGATGTACAAATCTGTGTTCATTACAAAATCCAACACATACAACATGATTGTAGCAACATGTTTTTGCTCCATCTTGATTCCGTCATCTATTCTCAGAAAACCAATATATCCACAATAAACCACATTTGTAAAACAGGAAAAACTAGAATGACCTAATCACAATATTTAACACACAGAGACAGATGTTTAGTAAAAGACTGGCCACACCACAGTTTAGACTGGCCTACGTGTTTAATATAAAAACTTCAAGTAATTGCTGTAGACTCAAACGGTCGTGACATCAAGAAGCAGGAATTCGAGTGAAAGCTGGTCAAACCAGTGGTGCTACAACTAAAGAGGAAAGTAAGCCAGTCTAGCCTGTCCTAGCTTTCATGTAGCATAAGCTTTAACACAACTATTGATGAAACCACTTAGTTCAGCAAACTGGGAGAATATGGTAGACTGGGCAGTTAAAAAGAAGAACGACAGCTGTGAATACTGTGACTGAGAACATAATGATAATTTTGGGACTGAGTAAATCTTTTGTGTTCTACACAATTAAGAGCACAGCAACAAAGAAGAAAAAATAGAAACCAAAATTGGCTTATGTGCCTGAATTATTGCAACAAATTAATGTCAATGCAATGATAAAAACTAGTTGACCACTTAACAGTGACTAGATGACTGCAATAGGTATTTCTTTCAATAACAATTTATATTGTTTTAAGTTCAGATCTAGCTTAGATGAAAATGCAATTGGTAACATCCAAAAATAAGTATTTCTATAGGATGTGTGTGCACCACAGATATGAAAGAGTGGTATAGTGATGTACTAATCCTATTAGGGAAGGCTGCAAACTGTGTTGTCAGCATCAGTGTGTAGTTGCACAATACATGTGACAAAACAGCCAGCCACATGAATGCTGAAGATTTTCCAACAAAGTTGCGCACAGTAGTAAATGCAATTACTTAGTTGTACTGATGCCACTTGTTTGTATTTGATATTCGTCTTTTACACCTCTACTCATTTGCTTTACAATATTTCTTTCACAGTTAATTTCACAGTATAATGGGACCACGTTGACAAGGGGACCATGCTGCTAACAGGACCACTCTGCTATTCCTGCAGGATCAAGAAAGTTCTCTCTCATCTTAATAGGACCATGCTGCTGTAGATTATTTCCCCCACACACACTTTTGGTGCCGTGTTTTTGTATTTTTGCTGCATGCTTTGGTATTTCACTGCTAAATTGTCAGTAAAGCAGAATTATGTTTTTATGCTGCACTAAAGAGAAGGAGCTCTTGTGTACCGTTTGCAAAGATTTCCAAGATTTGCACAAAACAGAGGAAGAACACAGCCAGTAATGCCAGCAGCAAGTCATTTGACCACTGTTAGAACAAGGTCCATGTATCCAACTCCTTGGACATTTTAGTCATTATTGGGGTTATACTTCAGTCCAGTTAGCTTGATTATTGCTTGCCTCAGTAATTAGCAGACATGTAGGCAACAGTTTCTCATTAAAACAGTCCCAATTGACAATTTCATATAAAACCCATCAGTGTTCATGTCATCTAATTAACCTAGGAGAAATTCAAAACTCCAGAGATTTACAAATACCAATAATGAAAGTCAGTAACAGAAATTAAGAGAAACACCTCACACTTTCTACTGCAATCAAAACAAAATAAAATGAACTACACAAACATTCCCACTTGCAGGTCAAAAGAAAGAAATCTCTAAAGTCAAAAGTTCTAAAAAGATGAAAGAGGAGAAAAGTATCTATAATAATTAGCAACACCAATAAGGGTATGAGCTAATGAACTATGCACCAAGTAGTTAAGCTCAAGTTAATACTATATATTGTGTTTGCACCAGCTGGTAAAAGTTAACTGATCATCCCACAACATTAGTTCTTAACATGAGATGCGACCACTAATAAAAAAGGTCACAAGTCCATCACAGAGCCACAAAAAGGCAAACTATTCTCACACACAAAAATTTGAAATACAGTAGCCCCTTGTTTATTGTATGGGTTCTGTACCCTGCTCACCTCATAAGTGAAAAACAGCAAAGTAGGGATACAGTAGTTCAAGTACAGTAAACTTAGTCTTGACATGTGACAGGCTGCAATCACACTCACTCACCCGTTACTCCTAATCTCCCTCCTTGTGTAAACAATTTAAAGACTAATATTTTAAATAAATAATCCATGCAGCATGGATTATTTATTTAAAATATTACAGTCTTTAAATTTACATTGTAGAAAAGAGTAGAAGTGCACAGATAAAATCGGCTGGCCGATTTCCTTAATTTGGGAAATCGTCCGATACTTGCATGAGTAACCGCAGTGTCCCCTTCAATTATACAAGCGGGGCGCCCCGTCAACAGAACCGAGCGCCCCCTCTACTGAACCCCACCCCCCACCCACCTGTCGGCACTGACGTAACGTTAAACTAGTGGCTCGCAATGCAGGTGCACTAGCTAAAAAGCTAAAAGCAGCCTCTTCCTTGACGCTGAACGCACCCCCGCCACTCGAAAACTGTCGGTACAAACAGCGCACGGCTCAGATGTGCGTCTCCGTTCCAGCCCCCCGGACAAAAATCACGGACGAGATGAGCGCCCCGCCATGGCAAGTTATCTAGGGGAAACACTGAACCGATTTTACAGATTTTTTTTAGTTTTAACAAACAATTGTCTAAACTTCATTTAGATTTCAGAACACTCCATCATGGCCAGTTAAAACAAGTTTGTATTGTTTCCAAGAGATTGTTCAAAGGTATGTTTTTAAATAAAATATTGGCAAATTGAAGGTGCATTGTGACCTAATAACACCTGACAGTGTCGCTTATAAAACAAAAACGGAAT